TCAAGGAAAGAAATTATTATTTGTTGTTTTCTAAACATGGCTTTATAAAAGTAAAAAAAAAAAGGTGAGTTCATTCAGGGTTGTAAGATTATTGTAACTTACAATAACATAACTATTAGTAGTCATGATTTTTTTTTTCTAGTCTAGACAATCTTCCAGAGCTGACATTCATCATAGATTCAGATTGAAGAATAAATCAAGTAAAGTACCTAAAATTATCTATCTCTTCTGCAAACACATAGTATGTTGTTCATCATTGTTTGGATTGCCACTTTATTTCCAAACCACAAAAAAGTAATAAAAAGAAAAGTTGCCTTATTTGTTGTATTTTTGTAAACATTACTTTGTAAAAGAAAAAGGTAGGAGGTAGTTTAAGACTTGCAAGACTCTGTTATTGTAACCTTACAATAAAAGAATTATTAATATGTGTGATTTTGGTTTCCTATCCTGGACAATCTGGAAGGGATGACATTAACCTTGCAAGTAGGAAAACACTTTCTCTTCCTCTGCCTTAACTTTCCAGAGAATTGGGGAGGATTGGGTGTTAATCCTGAGATGCTTTCTCAAAGAACACTTCTGGTTTAGTCTCAAAGTTCTTTTATTAGACTTTTTAAAAATAGGACTGCAGTTCTTCTTCCCACCTTTCAAGGTGATTCTTAAAGTGTATACTTAGTCCAAGAAAAAAAATCTCACCTGGGGCATCTTGTAGACATTCAAGATGTTTGCCATGAAGGGACAGATGTAAGAGTTAGGTCCTGCAATAGCAGATACTGTCCAGTCCTTGGCATCACATTTATAATTGGGGATGAATCTGCCACGTGTTGAGAGAAGCTCCATTGAAGCTAAGTAAATCAATCCCGCCATGTAATAACTGTTAGAGATATCAATACCCAAGCTCATGTTGGATAATATATGCATATTTTCATTTATCTCCTTTACAGCAAAAACCAAGGCCAGGATATGTTGGTAGTTCTGCAGGAAAAATCTGCAAGAAAGGATATATTGTGTGGATCTAGGCAGGATGTTATGATTCTTTTAATTCATCATAAACAATTTTTACTGGAAACAGATAAATTGCTTGAAGAAAAATGATCGTATTAAAACCCATACGTTTTGATGAAATCTCATTCATCATCTTCAGGCTGATTTTTTCGGCTTCATGCTTCTAGGAGCACTTCCAATTTGACGCGGGAGAAAACCCAAATAACCAAAGACCTACATACAAACACCCGCGAAAACCTCAGAAAACAAATATATGCTCCTGGAAGCACGAAGCCGAAAGCACCAGCCTGAAGGTGACGAATGAGACTTCGTCGAAACGTCGCCAAGACACTTCCAATTTGACATGGGAAAAAACCCGAATAACCAAAGATAGATATATAATAATATAATATTATAATATAATATTCTTATATTTTCATCTTCTTCTTGGTTATGTTTTATGGCGGATATAGGCATGAAAAGTTTGTTTGGAGTAAACTTGAGAACAAATGTTATATTTTTAGATCTGAGATATTTTAGATATTTTTAGATGATAGATCTTATCCCAATAAAAGCACTGATGTTAAATTAAGGCAGAGATGCTCTAAGTCTGTGTTCCATGCATGCTCAACAGCTGTTTGGAAAATAATTCAAAGCATTATAATATTTAGTAAAAGAATTAAATGATTAACATAGATTTAGCTACAAATAGTACAGCACCTTGATAGTACATCACTAACAATTCATTTAACAGTAAAAAAATTAAAATCTCAATATGGAATTTGAATAAAAACACAAGCAGGAGAGTTGTCATAAGTGTGTTTGTGTATTTATTTGCCAGGGCAACCTATTAGAGAAAGATATATGGTTTAAGATATGCTATAGTTAAGAAGAGAAAGTCTTTACATGAGCTCATCAACCAGTTCTTCAGATGGGTGCCTTGTGAAACCAACTGGATCCGATATCATGTAGAACTGAGAGAGTATCCCAGCCATTATGAAATCTCCTGGCAGAAAATACTTGTGCTTAATAAAGGGAAGTTTCCCCACAGAACATGTTTTAATAAGGCATGTAGCTCCTGACAGTAACATTGACAACATTGCCATCACTACCATGGAAAATTCCATCTTCTTCAAGAAAACACTTCTCATTACATAAGAACCAGTTCTATCTGTAAGAATGAAACATAAGGGGAAAAAACTCTCACTTATTAGAATAAATATTCTTTCTAAGAAAAAAGGTTGTTACGTCTCTAACATTCTGATCCGACAATTAACATACCCTTTCAATCTTGAGCTATTCTTTGGTGTTGTGCCTGAGAATTCCTGAAAGAGTTGAGAGAAAAAAACCACATTAGTAAGATTCTTTGGGTAATTATAGGGGAAATCAGTGAATGTTTGGTGACGCTCCTTGGAGACTGTGGAGAAAGTAGAATGATGATTTGTATGGGCTAGGAAAAAAAGAACTCATAACTGAAAACTGTAAAAGAGATAGAGAAAAATAATGAAAATTCAGATAAACAAATGCTAGTTCTGTAGCTGTAAACTTTACATTCTCTGGAACAAAACAACTATCTGACTTTGACCTGTTAGGGCGCACATTAAAGCATGATTTTCTTTCCAAAGAGCTAAAAGGAAATTGACCCATAATATTATAGAATCCCGACCACCTTTATTTATCTTTTTGATAGGTCTTTAAACACTTTGATTATTGTATTTGTAATGTAATTAAAAGGACTGGAGGAACATTGTCCATGGGGTTGCGATGGGTCAGACATGACTTCGCAACTAACAACAACAATATAATTAAATCATGACATTTCTTTTTAAGCTTTCTAATGGAAGCAGGCCTATGAGCTGTGCAGAGTCCTTTGGGATGGGAACAGTGTGTAATGTCAAGTGAATATGCAAAAGGAATACCATTGGAAACATTTTTTTCAGTACTGTTTTTATTGCAAAATAAAAATATAGCTTGGCTCTTTTCACTCATTTTAAATGATTTTTTACTCCATATCCTCAAAGTCACACGGTGTGAACCATATATTTTTTGTCTGGCTTGATGAGTGACATGAGCCACCACCAATCCATTTATCCACCATTGATATTTTACAGCCCTGCAACAAATCTCTTTATCAATCGTATATGAGAAATGAAAAAAAAAAAAATCTACCAGTCACAGGACTCCTTCCTCATTAATTGTGAAATTTGATTGCTGGCTACAAATGTTGCTCCTTTTATCATATACAAAAACATAACCTGAATCAGTTTCTTTGTAGTAAAGAAATAATGGTCACTTGAAATTATTTATTTCTATTTGTCCTTTACCATTACTTCTTTCACTACATGGACAAATAAATTGAAGAATATGATAATATACAAATGCTAAAATAAGAAATTCACTTATTTATAAAATTTAAATGCTTCCTTCCTTCCTTCCTTCCTTCCTTCCTTCCTTCCTTCCTTCCTTCCTTCCTTCCTTCCTTCCTTCCTTCCTCTAGGACCCATCAAATACATCTTTTTGGAAAATAAGAGCCATAGTATGCCACTTTTTTGAACTGATGATACCTCGTACTGAGAACATCACACAGTGAGGGCCAAAGGCAACATCTCTTTGCCAATCACCACTGTCTGGAATGTAAATCAGAGAAAGAAAGCAAACCAGCAAAAAACACTGATCCAATTAGTTTATATAGAAGGGTAGAATGTTTGTTGGTTTTGAAAGTCACTTGGATCTAAAGAGGAGATGGATAAGGACCGATCCATTTTCTCAGGCTCAATAGATTCAAACTATTCCCAGATATTGAAGCCAGACTGCTCTATAGGCATTGGCCCCCTGGATCTGCGAACAAATTACAGCAACTTTGTCTGAGAATGCTAATATAATCAAGGGATGCATGCAGCAACTCAACAAGTGACAACTCTGAGCTACAATTCTCTTTATTTATCTCTTGATATTTAAATATTCTGCAATATCAATACATATTTAATTTTTTATGGATTGTCTCATTTAATATCCACTCTTTAAAAGACCAATTGAAGTTATGATGTTATTGAAGGAGCAGTACTTCTTAGAGATCCTCATAGTTGTGCTCATTGCAGTTCCATGATCACAAAATTAAAATTAAAAACTTGCCAAGAAAACAGGAAGACGTGTCCAGGCAGTCATCTAGAGTCAACAAATTTTCAACCAACATCTAAAAATGGAGATGATTAACGAGCATAGAGGCAGTATACAAACAATTAATTATAAACTCTTGATTTAGGAAATGTTATAGTGAAAATGGACCAATTTTCTGTTAAGTCTGATTGGTTCTGAATATTGGAGAATGCAAAAGCTTATCCTTCATCTGGATTCCTATTTTAACTTCCAGAAAAGAAAGTAAAAAAAAAAATCAAAAATCAAAAAGGATGGTAATAGTAAGATAAATGCAACATCATTGCTTTATGCTTAATGTCTCTGAAATATCTATCCTATTAGTTATATTAAGTATTACTGAGGGCACAGAAAGACTAGGTGGAGAGGATTACTTCTATAAAACCAAAGTTCATCTATGAGCATGTCCAATGGATGAACTTTGCCTTTACCATCCATGCATCCATGCACCTAGACTGGTCTGACAGTGAATCTACACTATTTACTCAATAACCTACCCTCCAAAAGAAAGTTTGAAACTATCATATTCCAATAAGGACTTAGCTTCTTAAGAGCTCTGAATTGGATTTTGGTAACTATCATCTTATATTTAAGCCTCCTTCAAAGCATTACCCATGATCCATGAAGACCCAAGACTACAACAAATCTGAGCAAATGGCAAGCAAAATGCTGGGCAAAATTGCTATGGGAAGATAATGTACTTTATTTCTTGGCATGGTTATAAACCTAGGCACATTCCAACATTAGACAAATATTTATTTTGTGCATTTGTGAATCTGTCTCAGTTTTCCCAAACTGCAAAGACTAGCAGAAAAAGGAAACACTACAGTGAGGAGAGTTTACAGTATAAGGTTTGGAAACATAATTCAGTGTTTTTTAATAAGTTTGTCCTTTTTGTTTAGATCAGGTCTCAGAAGAATAATATAGCATTTTGGGAAAAAGATACAGCCAAGCAACCCCATTGCTGAAGCCAGAATGGAGAAGATTTCCACCACCACCATGTACTTTCCCTTGGTGCTCAGATAGGTAGGAACAAATGTTACCCAAACGCTGCAAAACACCAGCATGCTGAAGGTAATGAATTTGGCTTCATTGAAGCTATCAGGTAACTTCCTAGCTAGGAAGGCTACCGTGAAACTGATAGCAGTTAAGAACCCCATAAAGCCCAGAACAGTATAAAACATGATGGTTGATGCTTCGTTACATTCTAGTACAATTTCTTCAGCCATGGAGTGCACGTCTGAATCTGGAAATGGGGGAGAAATTGCCAGCCATGCAACACAAATTGTGACTTGTATCAGAGAGCAAGAAAGGACTATGGAGTTGGCCAGTCTTTTCCCCACCCATTTCTTTATTTGGGATCCTGGTTTGGTGGCCATGAAAGCAAGAACCACTATGGTTGTTTTACCCAAAATGCAAGAAATGGCTACAGAGAAGATGATGCCAAATGCAGTTTGTCGCAAGAGACATTTGACTTGATCAGGTTGTCCAATGAAAAGAAAACTGCAGAGGAAAGAGAGCTGGAGAGCAATGAGAAGAATATAGGTGAGATTCCTGTTGTTGGCTTTGACTATGGGGGTTTCCCACTCTTTAATGAAGATCCTCAGCACCAAGGCTGAAGTTATAAAAAAGAAGACAGCTACAGTGGCCAAAGTGATTCCCAAAGGTTCTTCATAAGACAAGAAAGTTATATGTTTTTTGATGCAAAGATTGTGAGCTTCATTTGGATATTGATCTTTTGGACATTGGAAACAGTCAACTGCATCTGCAAAGGAAAACATTAAAGGACTGTTTATTGATCAGAATTTCAGAACTGTATCATGGCCTAGTGGTTAAGATGCTCGTCTCCCACTTGGGTGGTTGACAATTCAATAGCGGGAGATGTTTCTCTTAGAGTGTAAAGAAAAAATATCTGCTGCCAACTCCACATGGTGTCAGGAAAGGCATCAGCCAGTAAATGCTCAGTTCCATCCAGTTGCCCTGACTCTACTGCGAATTATGGGATTACAGTCATAATAAGGAAGTTATTTATAACTCAGAGTTGAAATGAGGAAACTTTGGTGCTATCTGAGATCCGTTGTTTTCTTGCAGACATTTCATAATGGTAACATCATCAGTGCTAGTCAACATCATTACTGTTGAACTGATGATGTTACCTAGTTTGGTAATGAAATATCTGCAAGAAAACCACCAAGTTCAGAGAGCACCAAGGACTGCTCAAAGAAAACATTGTGGCCCATAGAAGCTATGAAAGCAACTCCATTTATTTCTAGTTAATTATGTCCATTTTACTTGCATTACAGTATTAAAAATTAAGAATGGGACCATCCACATGCAGAAAAGTACCCTGTATATGTTTGGTTAAACAGACACCAAGAGTGTTGTTTGTATCAATCTCAGTGTCATGTTGGAAGATGGAAGGAAAGTGCAACAGAAAATTTTGTAATGGGTCAGAGTTTCCTAGTTTATTTTCCAGAGAAACCATGTGATACTTATTTTTGAGCTCATCTGGACATTTTACTTAATGACTGATGTATGTTATGGAAAATAAGTCAAAATCTATCACTTTTCTTCTTAATAAGTGAGTTCTCTACCTTTAAAAAGAAATAACCTAATTTTTGGAGAAATTTCTCTTAATTCAAAAGCTTTTTCATTTTGAATATTCTTCATGCTCAGGTGACAAATGTTTTAGCAAGAATTCCAGTTATTTATAAGGGTTAAAGATCCATGAAGATTGTAGTTCATTATCAGATCAACAGAAGGACCAATATTTATGTTTCATATCTATTTATGTGCTTGCTTCTCTCCAGCAAGGACAAGCTCATTTTCTTGCTTCTTTACACATCATATTCAATTCACAACAACAAATCAGTCAATCAAACTGTCCGAATCCTGACCATGACTCAGACACATCTGGACAAATAACACCCACACCAATTTAAATGAGCACATGAGCACAATTCAAAGCGCACTGAAGGTGTTTCCCTGAATGGAGATGAAACATTTGCAGCCAAATCGCCAAGTTTGGAGAGCAAACTAACAGCTCAACTTTCAACCTGAGCAAGTAATATTCAAACGAATCTTATCTTATACTGAGGTTATCTTGCTTCAATGAGGTCAACACTCCAAATTCTGAATAATTGATTACATTTGAGAACAATACCATGCAGAGTAAACACAGATAGATATACAATATTGCTGGTGACAATTAATAAGTCTTCTCATTAAGCACATCTTACCTGATCTGTTTGAAATTTTCCCCTTTGCACAAGGAAGACAATCATAGCAGCAAAAGGGCTTCTCATCTATTTTTTTCTTGAGGTAGCCTGGATAACAATTTTCGTTGCATACAGAAAGTGGTAATGCCTATTCAGAAATGACATCAGGAGAGAGTTCAATAGTTGTACTTTATACACTCATATTTCACTCTGTATATGATATTCTGACAAATCTGCATAGCTTTTCGAGAAATTCTTTATACTGTATGGGATTCAATTCAATGTATTATTAGATAGGCACATTTAATGAATGCCACCATAATAATGTGACATTGTCTATATGTCCTCATGGAACCATGTATTCGCTATGTTAGCCCGTCTTTGACACATGTAACCAAAAACGAGGCACTTCGTCAAGAACGGAAAACATCCAGTTTATTTCACAAACGTAAACGGAATAAAGTCAGCATTGACTAGCTGTTAACCCTAAGTGTTTTTATACATAGGCTGGAACCCTTCCTAGCCCACACCCCTGTCACCGCCCATACACCGCCACCCACCTACGGACCGCCCCACACCTCAAAACTTGCTGCATCATGATGACTGAACGCTTCCCGACGACCCGGCCGCTTCCCGTTGCTTCGATCTCTTCCCGAAGCTTCTGCCGTCGTCTTCCGACTCTTTGAAGATGTCCCGTGGCCGCTATTGGGTACGCATGCGTCAGATTGCCTGTCCTGTCCTTCACGCATGCGCGGTTCTAGAAATTATGATTGCATGCCGGGCCGGCTTCTGCGCATGCGTGGCCACCGGAACGATGTCGGGCCGACCGGACGTCACACAGAGTGGCGAGTGCCTTGCTGCCGCAGGTAGGTTCAGCAGTTGGTTGCAGCACGGCCCGACATACTGCCCCCCTTTCACCACGGTTCCCCCTGGGAAACAAACGAATATGTTATACCCGTATCTTTACCCCTTTTTGTCCACTCCCGCTACCCCACATAGTCCCGGCTTTTCTGGGTTTTCCACATAGAACTGATTGATTAATTTAGGGGCTTGTACATCATCTGCCCGTACCCATGTAGCTTCTGCCAAAGGATAGCCCTTCCACTTAATTAAATAATATAACTTGCCTCTCTGATTACGGGAATCGAGTATCTTCTGCACTTCATAATGGTCATCTTTAATAGGGCCTGGTCTAGTGTCCATTTGGTATGAATGGACTGGTTTAAGCAAACTACAATGAAATACTGGGTGCACCTTTCCTAGCAGTCGGGGTAATTGCAGTTGTACGGTTACAGGATTAATAATCTTTACAATTTTGAACGGGCCAATATATTTAGGGCCCAGTTTTTTACACGGGATTCTTAATTTCAGGTATTTGGTGGACAGATACACTAGCTGACCCAACATATATGGTTTGCAGGGCTGTCGTTTTTTGTCTGCTTGTGACCTCATCCTTCGTCCATATTCTATTAATGCCGTTCTTGCGGCCTTCCATGCTCCTGACACCCATTGGATCCACTCTCTTGGCAGATATGATTGTGCCCCCGAATCCTCACACTCAGGTATGGGAACGAACTCCTTCCCTGAAACCACCTTAAAAGGCGCAAACCCCGTACTGGTATGTACTGCGTTATTATACGCCACTTCCGCAAATACCAGTAGGTCTGCCCAGTTGGTTTGCTGATAGGATACATAACTCCTCAGATACCTTTCAACAGCTGCATTTGCCCGCTCAGCAGCCCCATTGGTGGCAGGGTGGTACGCCGTACTGAGCCCCTGGGACGTCCCTAGTAACGTGGTAAAGCCCTTCCAGAACTTTGCAGTAAATTGAACCCCCCGGTCAGATATTATTCGCCGAGGGGCTCCATGGATCCGGTATATATGAGTCAGAAACATGTATGCTAACTTCCGAGCAGTGGGTAACTTTCGACATGGAACAAAATGTGCCTGTTTCGAGAACAGATCGATTATTGTCCAAATAATCGTATATCCTCTACTGTTCGGCAAATCTACTATAAAATCCATGGCAATATCTTGCCATGGATGCTCAGGGTTCGCCACCGACTGTAATTGTCCCACTGGCCTTCCTGGCTGAGTTTTACAGGTGGCACATACTGTACATGCCTTTACATAGTGTTCGACATCTTTTCTTAACGTAGGCCACCAAAATTGGCGTCTAATTAGGTGTAACGTCTTGATGAACCCAAAATGCCCTGCTAACTGTGAGTCATGACATCTCTGAAGAACTTTAGCTCGTAACACCGATGGAACATATAACTTCCCTCCGAACCATACCAAACCGTCTCTCTGAGTTAACAGGGTACGGTGACTCTGAAACCACGAATCTTGGGGCAATGCCGCCTTCAACTCCGACTCCAGATCCCTGGAATTAGGACGGGACCGTAGTTTACCCACTCCCTGGGTATATGGTGGCAGTATAGCTTGTACTATTTCTTCCCTTTGACTCTCATATTGAGGTAACCTAGACAAGGCGTCCGCCAGGAAATTTCGGCCCCCAGGTACATATTTAAGTTGGAAGGTGAACCGCTGAAAGTATTGTGCCCAACGGACGTGTTTAGGGGCTAACCGTCGGGGCGACAGGTTTTTATGGTCCGTCCATATTTCGATCTCATGTTTAGCCCCTTCCAGAAAGTGCCGCCATGTTGCCAAAGCCCACTTAATAGCAAAGGCCTCCTTCTCCCATATAGCCCATCTTCTCTCAGTTTCTGATAACTTGCGCGATGTATAAGCGCAGGGCTGTAGCTCACCCTTAAGATTTCGTTGTAACAATACAGCCCCCACCGCCACATCACTTGCATCTGCCTGGACAATATACTGTTTCTCGGGATCGGGATGTAGTAAAATGGGCTCTTTGGCAAATAACGCCTTTAAATGTTCAAATGCAGCTTGACTTTCCTTAGACCACGCTAATGGTTGACCAGGCCGTACCTTTGTTGGGGAGTTCCGTGTTTTCAACAACTCTGTGAGTGGCAAAGCGACGCGGGCAAAATGAGGAACAAACTGCCTGTAGAAATTCGCGAATCCTAAAAAGCTCTGTAACTGGCGTCTCGTCCGAGGCGCCTGCCACCCAAGTACTGCTTTTACCTTTCCTGGATCCATTTCTATTCCCGCAGCAGATATCTTATACCCCAAATATTCGATACAGGTTTTATGGAATTCGCATTTCGAGAGCTTCACGAACAGCTGAGCCTGGAGGAGTTTGCGTAACACCTCTCTAACCAATTGTATATGTTCCGCCATGGTTTTAGAATAAATCAAAATATCGTCTAAATAAACTAACACCCCTCTATATAAATGTTGATGCAACACCGCATTAATGGTCTGCATAAATACCGCCGGCGCTCCTTTGAGCCCAAACGGCATGACGGTAAACTGAAAGCTCCCTAAAGGGCAGTTAAATGCGGTCTTCCACTCATCCCCTGGTTTTATTCGAATGCGATAATATGCCTCCCTTAAATCCAGCTTCGTAAACACCCTCCCTTGGGATAAATGAGACAGCATGTCCTTCAGCAGGGGCAATGGATACATGTTTTCTGTGCTTACCGCATTCAACCCCCTGAAATCCACGCAAAGCCGTAATCCTCCGTCCTTTTTCCCTTGAAATAACACCGGAGCGGCAATCCGTGATCGGGCCGGCTGTATAAACCCCCGCTCTAAATTTTTATCGATATATTTTCGTAGCTCCTCTAACTCCTTAGGGGACATGGGGTACATCCGAGGCTTTGGCATTTTTGCCCCAGGTATGATATCTATAGCGCAGTCGGTAGGACGATGGGGCGGCAACGCATCACACTCTCGCTCACTAAACACGTCCTGTAAATCCTCATATTCCACAGGAAAAAACCGGGTACCTCCACCAGTGTCCACCGCTACTCTGATTCTTTCCTCCAGCCGTAGGCTACCTTGTGGGGATTGTACCTGCGGTTCCTCACCCTCACTGCCTGGGGGTCGAGGACCTACTGCTAACCTTATACGGCGACATCCCCCTGCCCACCAGATAACTGGTTGCCATCTGTCAAGCCATGCCAACCCCAGGATCACGTCCTCGGTCATTGAGGGGATGACTATAAAACGCAGCAATTCCCAGTGTTCCTGCATCTCTAAGCGCACCAGTTCCGTTACATAGGATGCCGGTGCCCCACCTAGTAAGGACCCATCCACTTGTTCAAAATTGATGGGTCGAGATAATTTAATCAATCGAAGTCCTAACGCATCCGCCACTTTTCTATTGATCAAACATCGGGTACACCCTGAATCTATTAATGCTTGACATTCTATGCGTTGTTTAGACTTACAATCCCCTAGGCGGATTGGCACGGTGAATGGAACCACCGGATTACTTACCATGGGATCTTGTTCCGGATCCTCTTGGTCACACCTCTCGGGAACTACCTCCGGGGTGGCAACCGCCACTACAGGTATAGCCTTATAAGGGGTGCCGCCTTCATCCCGCAAGGCCCTCAATTGATCTTTTCCTCGGAACGGGGTAACCTCCTGCCTTCTCATTCCTGAAGCTGTCTGTTCCGGAGTTGAACCTCGTCCAGGTCTAGTTGGGCACTGGGCCGCCCGATGACCCGGTTTATTGCACCTAAAACAACGGAACGTCCCTCTTGGTGCCCCGGGCGGAACTGGTTGAACTGGAACTCCCGACAGACCTGGTTTGTTGGTTGTTTGCTGAGGCGGCACCGGAGGAGAGATGGCTGTTACCGGTCTGATTTCCTGTAACCCTGCATAGAGTTCGGTCACTGTCCTGTACCAATCAGACAACCGAGTTGGCACACCTCTCATCAGGCAAGCTTGTTGGAGTTCCACATCGAGGCCATGCCTGAAATGATGTACCAGTAGCTTCTCAGGCCAAGATCGTAGTCGGCCTGCTACCCTCTGGAAGTCCTTAATAAACTCTCTCACCGGCCTCCCTGCCTGCCTCAGTGTCACTATTTCCGCCTCCGCTCTCTGCGCCCTGGTGGAGTCCTCAAACCGCAATCTCAGAGCCTCCAGGAAGGCACCTATGTCGGCCAACTCACTGGCGTGCTCTCCGAACAGGTCGGCCGCCCATGCAGCCGCCTCACCTTGTAAGCTAGCGGTCACCGCTACCACCATAGCCCATTGGGAGGAGTAATATCCTGCGAAACGGTCCAAATGATTCAGCACATGCCCTAAAAACATGGCCAGTTTGTCCGGATCCCCATCAAAAAGAATCCCAATTGCTGGAGGGGTCCATGGTATACCCGTGGGCCAGGCTACAGCCTGCTGGCCACCCTGCTGAGGGCCCGTGCCAGTAGAATGCCGGCCAAGGTCCCCGGGACCCAAGGGTAAAGACACAGGGGTGGTAGCTATGGGTCCCATTCGCACACCTCCATGTCCTCCTTGTTGCAACGGCACCGTTGACCCCCGCAACTGTGGGCTACCCAGACGGAATCCAGATGACTCCTCAGGGCGATGAGCGGCCACCCCCTGTCTGGGAAGGAACCCTGGCTCCCCAAACCTAGCCTTTAAGACATCGAGGGTATACTGCCCTGGAGTGGTAGAGTAACTCCAGTCATCTCCATCGTCGCCGACCACTCTCCTCTCTCTCCAGCCCATCGCAGAGCCCCCGTTATCCTGTATGGACCGACGCTCGGTGCCCTTTCGGTGGGACGTGGAACTCAGTCCCCAGCCAGCCGCCTCTGGTAATACCGGCCTCTGCTTAACCCCAGGGTCCACATCCCCCAGCAGCGGAACACTCTTCTCCTTTGGACGAACAACTGGTCCTTCCGCGGCTGCCCCTGGGTCCACTGACGAGCCAGGTTCCTCCGACTGCTCAAGGACCTCCTCCGACACCCCAATCTCCTGAACACCTTCGGCCATGCTGCCTGTAGTCAGCTCCACGGTAAAGCCAATAAAGGAGCCTAAGATGAATGCTGACTTACTGTTAGCCCGTCTTTGACACACGTAACCAAAAACGAGGCACTTCGTCAAGAACGGAAAACATCCAGTTTATTTCACAAACGTAAACGGAATAAAGTCAGCATTGACTAGCTGTTAACCCTAAGTGTTTTTATACATAGGCTGGAACCCTTCCTAGCCCACACCCCTGTCACCGCCCATACACCGCCACCCACCTACGGACCGCCCCACACCTCAAAACTTGCTGCATCATGATGACTGAACGCTTCCCGACGACCCGGCCGCTTCCCGTTGCTTCGATCTCTTCCCGAAGCTTCTGCCGTCGTCTTCCGACTCTTTGAAGATGTCCCGTGGCCGCTATTGGGTACGCATGCGTCGGATTGCCTGTCCTGTCCTTCACGCATGCGCGGTTCTAGAAATTATGATTGCATGCCGGGCCGGCTTCTGCGCATGCGTGGCCACCGGAACGATGTCGGGCCGACCGGACGTCACACAGAGTGGCGAGTGCCTTGCTGCCGCAGGTAGGTTCAGCAGTTGGTTGCAGCACGGCCCGACACGCTATGTATTTCCTATGCATTGCTATGTTTTTCCTATGTATCCTATGCATTTCCCATGTATTTCCATGGGACTTTAGAGGTTTCCTTAATTGTTCAAACTGGACTCCCCTCAAATTCCCTTTTGGTCAATCTGATTGGTAAATATCTATGAGGATTCTCAATCATCCAGGTCATGGTTGTCCCAAAGGTGCTTTTCAAAAGTCAACGAACTTTCGTGGCTTTTTCCTTGAAAATGTTTGAGAAACATTCAATTCCTTGAGAAGTGAAGAAGCTTCTTGGATCAGAAGCAAAATATTTTCAAGAAAATAAAAGTCCAGTTGCCTTTGAAAAGCATCTTTGAGTTTAATCTGATTGGTAATTTATCCCACACTTTGTAGGTGAAATTAAACTTTGGAATTATGTGCATTTTCATTGAGTCCAGTCCTTTCTGCCAAAGAGGTCCTGAAAAGAAATACTGCAGAGAATTTACTCATGGGATACAGAGTTCCAGTTGCATCTAGTCAGTCTTGTAGAAATTATGAAATAGACCATGTTTTAATGGTGATAAATTTGCAAGTTAAATTTAGAAAACTAAAGAAAATAGTTGGGATTTTAAAATATGTCTTAGACAATATGCCGTTGGAATATAATCAAATTATAAGGTAGCAATGGACAGGAATAAGATATTTCAACTAGTACAGTATCTCAGCATGGCGCTTGTTTATTATTAAATGATTTTCAGCTTTTATAATTCAAAGATGGCTCCCTATGTAGGACAACCTGAAAATGACAGCTGGTAATTGTGTACATTCAGGAATGCCCATAGATTTCTGGAAAGACAAGTTTAATAATGGAACACCTGTGTACTCTGATCTCTGCTCTTTCATTTTTTGTCATATTTTATTGCCTTAATTTTATTATAAATGAGTCACTTAAATGATAAAAGTGATTTTTGAATATGGGAGGATTTGAGACAACCTGAAACATGAGTAGGAAATACCTGGTTGAACATGGTCGGCCAGATGATGTTTTCTTCAGAAATCATGAAATACTCTTTTGAAGAAGTCAATGGGTCTACCTTTCCAACTTTGACTTTAAGAAATGTTTTGTTTGGGAATGTGATCCAGTTGATGATATCAAATCCAGTTCCCAATTCCCCCTTTTCATTAAAGAAAACTGTTTCCCCAACACTGTTGTTAAATAAGACTGTTCTCAGGTAAGGATGGAGCTAAATGGAAGCAAATCAAGCACAAATATTTGTGTTTGAATTATGTTGATAATTTAGCTTTGTGTTTTAACTGTGCACAGTGTCCAGTGTTATATGAATGAGATGGGCAGCCACATAAATTCAATAAATAAATGCAATTTATCTGGAGAAATAAATACCAATTGTATACCAAACCAATTGTACACAACTACCATTTAGAAATTCCTAATATTACTGTGCAAGTGAACCAGAATATTAATAAGCATATTATCTCCAAGTAAAATTGTTTGACAAAATTTTAAACTGAATTATGAAGCTGTTGTCAGGAAACATGAAACATGAATTTGTGTAAACTATGTGGATACTGAACCTGAAATGTACATGTTTTGCAATCATAAAATCACCTGATGGCATCAGAGAAGATTTTATTCTTACAATTTTATTTTATTTTATTTTATTTTACAAATTGATTGCTTGATCAATCTGTCATTGTGATTTCTTTCATTATTACCTGCCACGTTTCTTCCTTGATAATCATCAGCCTTCCGTGATCCGCCCTTGCTCTGTGTTTGTATTTGGATGAAAACATGGCTTTCAAGGCATGTGCCACAGCATAGATTGCATTATAAACGCTGTAACTCTGCCCAGTCATGGTGGTCTCAAACACAGAATTAGGAAGAGTCTCCAACTTCTCCTCTCCAGTGCACAGCACTCCAGCATTCTCATCTAACTTATCTTTAAAGAAAAAACATTCAAATGCCTGCTCCCAGAACAATCTTGTTAAATGATCTCCTTCTTCTGAAGTAGGGCTTCTCATCTGCAAGAATGGTTTGAACCCAGTCACCTCCTTGGAAGAAACTGCAAAAGATATGGCACCATCAAAAAAGTCCAAAGGGAGTATTTTTTGAAAAGGGACTGATGTGAACTCCATCTGGGCTGGCATGATCCAGACTTTGTCTTTTCTCTTTACTGGTATATCCTCATATTCTGAAAGATGGGGAAATATTCTGAAAATGGCAATTATGTGGTTTCCACAGAAGAGGATCACAACATTGGCAGTGCTGTTCATGACAACCTTGTATATGGCAACATAATATTTAAATATATATTCAATGTGATTAGAAAAAATTTCTTTGGGCAACTCTTGCATGAAGTCAAAGCAAATACCTTTCTGGACAAACAGTGTAAGTGCATTCCGTACAAAACTCCGTGCACTCTCATCAGGTTGAGAAAGCAGCCCTATCCATACCCACTTTAAATGCAACAGCAGCTGAAGAATCCCCTTCGTCTGAAGCTCCTCATTTGGGAAAAAAGGATGAAAGAAAACTGTGTCTTCGCTATTATCTTTCATTGGAGCAGATCCATATAGAAGCCAGGGAAAAATGATTTAAAATAGTTGGGTATTAGAATCTATGATTCAGACTGTGTTCCTCACCAGCTTCAAGAAAAATATATTCTAGAAAGAAATCAGTGTTTCCTTTAATTTAATATTCGAATGCCATAGATTTGACAATCTTTTGATTCAGTAATCCCTGAACCTTAATAGGATAACAGAATAACACAGTTGGAAGGGACCTTGGAGGTTTTCTAGTCCAACCCCCTGCTTGGACAGGAAACCCATCCATTCTAGAAAAGTGACTATCCAGTCTCTTCTTAAAATGTTCCAGGAATGAAGCACCCACAAATTCTAGAAGCAAGTCATTCCACTGATTAATTGTTCTGTCAGGAAATTTCTCCTTTATTCTAGGTTGGTTCTCTCCTTGATTACTTTCCATCCATTGCTTCTCATCCTGCCTTCATATGCTATGGAGAATAGTTTGACCCCTTCTTCATTGTGGCAGCCCCTTCGATATTTGAAAACTGCTATCAAGTCACCCTTAGTCCTTTTCATTAAATTAGACATATCCAATTCCTGCAAACATTCTTTGTATGTTCTAACCTCCAGTTCCCTAATATTCGCTAGACTCTTTCTAGATTTATAAATCTCCTTGATTACTTTCCATCCATTGCTTTTTTAAATTATTTGAATTACCATGAATAACATTTATAGGCAGGAAGGAGGGAGGTTGTGAGGGGCGAGGGAAGGAAGGAGGGAGGGAAGGAAGGAAGGAAGGAAGGAAGTAAGGAAGGAAGACCAGTGTGCAGTACAAAGATGAAGATAACTATTACTCAATCAGGTTCATGAATTCTTAATATTTTTACTAAAGCATGGTAGGAAAATGGATGCATGACAATACAGTATATTGACATTTCTCTTCAGTATATTTGTAAATATGTCAAAGAATCATTGTATATTAATTGTTCAGATGATTTGGATTGAGGAATAAAAGAAGTATGAAAAAATATCTATCTCATCTGCAAACACATAGTTTGGACTGCCATTTTAATTCCACACCACAAAATATAATATTCAAGGAAAGAAATTATTATTTCTTGTTTTCTAAATATGGCTTTATAAAAAAAAAAGGTGAGTTCATTCAGGGTTGCAAGATTATTGTAACTTACAATAACATAACTACTAGTATTCATGATTTTGTTTTCTAGTCTAGACAATCTCCAGAGCTTACATTCATCGTAGATTCAGATTGAGGAATAAATCAAGTAAAGTACCTAAAATTATCTATCTCTTCTGCAAACAAATGATACGTTGTTCATCATTGTATGGATTGCCACTTTATTTCCAAATCACAAAAAACTAATAAAAAGAAAAGTTGGTTTATTTTTTTTGTAAACATTACTTTGTAAAAGAAACAAATGGGAGGTACTTTAAGACTTGCAAGACTCTGTTATTGTAACCTTACAATAAAAGAATTATTAATATGAGTGATTTTGGTCTCCTACCCTGGACAATCTGAAAGGGATGACATTAACCTTGCAAGTAGGAAAACACTTTCCCTCCCCTGCCTTAAGTTTCCAGAGAATTGGGGCGGAGGGGGTGTCAATCCTGAGATGCTTTCTCAAAAAAACCCTCTGGTTTAGTCTCAAATTTCTTTTATCAGTCTTTTTTTTAAATAGGACTGCCGTTCTTCTTCCCATCTTTCAAGGTTATTCTTACAGTGTATACTTAGTCCAAGAAAAAAAATCTCACCTGGGGCATCTTGTAGACATTCAAGATGGTTGCCATGAAGGGACAGATGTAAGAGTTAGGTCCTGCAATAACAGATACTACCCCGTCCTTGGCATCACACTTATAGTTGGGGATGAATCTGCCACGTGTTGAGAGAAGCTCCATTGAAGCCAAGGAAGTCAATCTCGCCATCAAATAACTGTTAGAGATGTCAATACCCAAGCTCATGTTGGATAATATAGCCATATTTTCATTTATCTCATTTACAGCAAAAACCAAGGCCAGGATATGTTGGTAGTTCTGCAGGAAAAATCTGGAAGAAAAGATATATTGTGTGGATCTAGGCAGGATGTTATGATTCTTTTAATTCATCATAAACAATTTTTACTAGAAACAGATAAATTGCTTGAAGAAAAATGATCATATTAAAACCCATATGTAATTCACTTACTCTCTCTCTCTCTCTCTCTCTCACTCACACACACACACACACATACATGTATATCTATATGTATATGTATATAGGTCTTTGGTTATTCGGGTTTTCTCCCGCATCAAATTGGAAGTGTTTTGGCGACGTTTCGACGAAGTCTCATTCGTCATCTTCAGGCTGGTGTTTTTGGCTTCGTGCTTCTAGGAGCACTTCCAATTGGACATGGGAGAAAACCTGAATAACCAAAGACCTACATACAAACACCCGCAAAAACATATATATCCTTATATTTTCATCTTCTTCTGGGTTATGTTTTATGGCGGATATAGGTATGAAAAGTTTGTTTGGAGTAAACTTGAGAACCAATGTTATATTTTTGATCTTAGATATTTTACATATTTTTAGATGATAGATCTTATTCCAATAAAAGTCACTGATGTTTTATTAAGGCAGAGATACTCTAGGTCTGTGTTCCATGCATGCTCAACAGCTGTTTGGAAAATAATTCAAAGCATGCAACTGTTCCCTAATATTAAGTGAACGAATTAAATGATTAACATAGATTTAGCTACAAATAGTACAGCACCTTGCTAGTACATCACTAACGATTCATTTAACAGTAAGAAAACAAGAAAATCCCAATATGGAATTTGAATAAAACCACCAGTGGGAGAGTTGTCATAAGTGTGTTTGGGTATTTATTTGCCAGGGCAAACTATTAGAGAAAGATATATGGTTTAAGATATGCTATAGTTAAGAAGAGAAAGTCTTTACATGAGCTCATCAACCAGTTCTTCAGATGGGTGCCTTGTGAAACCAACTGGATCCGATACCATGTAGAACTGAGAGAGTATCCCAGCCATTATTAAATCACCTGGCAGAAAATACTTGTGCTTAATAAAGGGAAGTTTCCCCACAGAACATGTTTTAGTACGCAGAATATGGCATGTAGCTCCTGACAGTAACAGTGACAACATTGCCATCACTACCATGGAAAATTCCATCTTCTTCAAGAAAGCACTTTTCACTAGAAATGAACCAGTTCTATCTATAAGAATGAAACATAAGGGGGGAAAACTCTCACTTATTAGAATAAATATTCTTTCTAAGAAAAAAGGTTGTTACATCTCTAACATTCTGATCCAACAATTAACAGACCCTTTCAATCTTGAGCTATTCTTTGGTGCTGTGCCTGAGAATTCCTGAAAGAGTTGAGAGAAAAAAACCAGATTAGTAAGATTCTTTGGGTAATTATAGGGGAAATCAATGAATGTTTGGTGACGCTCCTTGGAGACTGTGGAGAAAGTAGAATGATGATATGTATGGGCTAGGAAAAAAAGAACTCATAACTGAAAACTGTAAAAGAGATAGAGAAACATGATGAAAATTCTGAGAAACAAATGCTAGTTCTGTAGTTGTAAACTTTACATTCTCTGGAACAATACAACTTTCTGACTTTGACCTGTTAGGGCGTACATTAAAGCATTGACCCATAATGTTATAGAATCCCGACCACCTTTATTTATCTTTTTGATAGGTCTTTAAACACTTTGATTATTGTATTTGTAATGTAATTAAAAGGCCTGGAGGAACATTGTCCATGGGGTTGCGATGGGTCATTCATGACTTTGCCACTAACAAGAACAATATAATTAAATCATGACATTTCTTTTTAAGCTTTCTAATGGAAGCAGGCCTGTGAGCTGTGCAGAGTCCTTTGGGATGGGAACAGTGTGTAATGTCAAGTGAATATGCAAAAGGAATACCATTGGAAAAAATTTTTTCAATACTGTTTTTATTGCAAAATAAATATAGCTTGGCTCTTTTCACTCATTTTCAATGATTTTTTACTCCATATCCTCAAAGTCACATGGTGTGAACCATATATTTTTTGTCTGGCTTGATGAGTGACATGAGCAACCACCATTTATCCACCATTGATATTTTACAGCCCTGAAACAAATCTCTTTATCAATTGTATATGGGAAATGAAAAAAAAACAATACCTTGATAGTACATCACTAACGATTGATTTAACCGTAAAAAAATTAAAAAATTTAAATTTAAATCCTTCCTTCCTTCCTTCCTTCCTTCCTTCCTTCCTTCCTTCCTTCCTTCCTTCCTTCCTTCCTTCCTTCCTTCCACCCTCTAGGACCCATCAAATATACCTTTCTAGAAAATAAGAGCCATAGTATGCCAGTTTTTTGAACTGATGATACCTCGTACTGAGAACATCACACAGTGAGGGCCAAGGGCAACATCTCTTTGCCAATCACCACTGTCTGGAATGTCATTCAGAGAAAGAAACCAAAGCAGCAAAAAACACTGATCCAATGAGTTTATATAGAAGGGTAAAATGTTTGTTGGTTTTGAAAGTCACTCGGATCTAAAGAGGAGATGGATAAGGACCAATCCATTTTCTCAGGCTCAATAGATTCAAACTATTCCCAGATATTGAAGCCAGACTGCTCCATAGGTATTGGCCCCCTGGATCTGCAAACAAATTACAGCAACTTTGTCTGATAGATGATAATATAATCAAGGGATGCATGTAGCAACTCAACAAGTGACAACTCTGAGCTACAATTCTCTCCATTTATCTCTTGATATTTAAATATTCTGCAAATTCAATACATATTTAATTTTTTATGGATTGTCTCATCTAATATCCACTCTTTAAAAGACCAATTGAAGTTATGATGTTACTGAAGGAGCAGTACTTCTTAGATATCCTCATAGTTGTGCTCATTGCAGTTCCATGATCACAAAATTAAAATTAAAAACTTGCCAAGAAAACAGGAAGACATGTCCAGGCAGCCATCTGGATTCAACAAAATTTCAACCAACATCTAAAAATGGAGATCATTACACGAGCATAGAGGCAGTATACAAAAAATTAATTATAAACTCTTGATTTAGGAAATGTTATAGTGAAAATGGACCAATTTTTGTTAAGTCTGATTGGTTCTGAATATTGGAGAATGCAAAAGCTTATACTTCATCTGGATTCCTCTTTTAACTTCCAGAAAAGAAAGTAAAAAAAAATCAAAAATCAAAGGATGGTAATAGGAAGATAAATGCAACATCATCGCCTTATGCTTAATGTCTCTGAAATATCTATCCTATTAGTTATATTAAGTATTACTGAGGGCATAGAAAGACTAGGTGGAGAGGATTACTTCTATAAAACCAAAGTTCATCTATGAGCATATCCAATGGATGAACTTTGCCTTTACCATCCATGCATCCATGGACCTAGACTGGTCTGACAGTGAATCTACACTATTTACTCAATAACCTACCCTCCAAAAGAAAGTTCGAAACTACTATCATATTCCAATAAGGACTTAGCTTCTTAAGAGCTCTGAATTGGATTTTGGTAACTATCATCTTATATTTAGGCCTCCTTCACAGCATTACCCATGATACATGAAGATCCAAGACTACAACAAATCTGAGCAAATGGCAAGCAAAATGCTGGGCAAAATTGCCAAGGGAAGAAATTGCACTTTATTTGTTGACATGGTTATATACCTAGGCACATTCCAACATTAGACAAATATTTATTCTGTGCATTTGTGCATCTGACCCAGTTTTCCCAAACTGCAACGACTAGCAGAAAAAGGAAACACAACAGTGAGGCGAGTTTACAGTATAAGGTTCAGAAACATTATTCAGTGTTTTTTAATAAGTTTGTCCTTTCTGTTTAAATCAGGTCTCAGAAGAATAATATAGCATTTTGGGAAAAAGATACAGCCAAGCAACCCCATTGCTGAAGCCAGAATGGAGAAGATCTCCACCACCACCATGTACTTTCCCTTGGTGCTCAGATAGGTAGGAACAAATGTTACCCAAACGCTGCAAAACACCCGCATGCTGAAGGTAATGAATTTGGCTTCATTGAAGCTATCAGGTAACTTCCTAGCTAGGAAGGCTACTGTGAAACTGATAGCAGTTAAGAACCCCATAAAGCCCAGAACAGTATAAAACATGATGGTTGATCCTTCGTTACATTCTAGTACAATTTCTTCAGCCATGGAATGTGTGTCTGAATCTGGAAATGGAGGAGAAATTGCCAGCCATGCAACACAAATTGTGACTTGTATCAGAGAGCAAGAAAGGACAATGGAGTTGGCCAGCCTTTTCCCCACCCATTTCTTCATTTGGGATCCTGGTTTGGTGGCCATGAAAGCAAGAACCACTATGGTTGTTTTACCCAAAATGCAAGAAATGGCTACAGAGAAGATGATGCCAAATGCAGTTTGTCGCATGAGACATCTGACTTGACCAGGTTGTCCAATGAAAAGAAAACTGCAGAGGAAAGAGAGCTGGAGAGCAATGAGAAGAGTATAGGTGAGATTCCTGTTGTTGGCTTTGACTATGGGGGTTTCCCACTCTTTAATGAAGATCCTTAGCACCAAAGCTGAAGTTATAAAAAAGAAGACAGCTACAGTGGCCAAAGTGATTCCCAAAGGTTCTTCATAAGACAAGAAAGTTATATGTTTTTCGATGCAAAGATTGTGAGCTTCATTTGGATATTGATCTTCTGGACATTGGAAACAGTCAACTGCATCTGCAAAAGAAAACATTAAAGGACTGTTTATTGATCAGAATTTCAGAGCTGAATCATGGCCTAGTGCTTAAGATGCTCGTCTCCCACTTGGGTGGTTGACAATTCAATAGTGGCAGAAAATATCTGCTGCCAACTCCACATGGTGTCAGGAAAAGCATCCAGCCAATAAATGCTCAGTTCCATCCAGTTGCCCTGACTCTACTGCGAATTATGGGATTTCAGTCATAATAAGGGAAGTTATTTATAACTCAGAGTTGAAATGAGGAAACTTTGGTGCTATCTGAGATCAGTTGTTTTCTTGCAGACATTTCATAATCAAACTTGGTAACATGATGATGTTACTTAGTTTGGTAATGAAATATCTGCAAGTAAACCACCAAGTTCAGAGAGCACAAAGGACTCTTTGAAGAAAACATTGTGGCCCATATGAAAGCAACTCCATTTATTTCTAGTTAATTATGTCCATTTTACTTGCATTACAGTATTAAAAATTAAGAATGGGACCATCCGCATGCAGAAAAGTACCCTGTATATGTTTGGTCAAATAGACACCAAGAGTGTTGTTTGTATCAATCTCAGTGTCATCTTGGAGGATGGGAGGATAGTGCAACAGAAAATTTTATAATAGGTCAGAGTTTCCTAGTGTATTTTCCAATGAAAGGGTGTGATACTTCTTTTTGAGCTCATCTGTTTCGACATTTTACTTAATGACTGATGTATTTTATGGAAAATAAGTCAAAATATATCACTTTTCTCCTTAATAAGTGACTTCTCTACCTTTAAAAAGAGATAACCTAATTTTGGGAGAAATTTCTCTTAATTCAAAAGCTTTTTCATTTTGAATATTCTTCATGCTCAGGTGACAAATATTTTAGCAAGAATTTTAGTTATTTATAAGGGTGAAAGATCCATGAAGATTGTAGTTCATTATCAGACCAGCAGAAGGACCAATATTTATGTTTCATATCTATTTATGTGCTTGCTTCTCTCCAGCAAGGACAAGCTCATTTTTCTTGCTTCTTTACACATCATATTCAATTCACAACAACAAACCCGTCAGTCAAACAGCCCGAATCCTGACCATGACTCAAAAACGTCTGGACAAATAACACCCACACCAATTTAAAGATCAGTGTTCTGACACAAGAGCACTATTCAAAGGACACTGAAGATATCTCCCTGAATGGAGATGAAACATTTGCAGCCAAATCGCCACGCTTGGAGATCAAATTAACAGTTCAACTACCAACCTGAGTGTCAGAATCCAATTATATTTCATCTCTAATTATCAACTATAAAAAACCCCATTTCTGCCTTCTCGGGATTCTGTCATACGATGAAGGGAAGGTGGTGAACAAAGGGGCTTTATGGCCCTCACTTCCTTCAGTACACTTCAAAGGATAGCACCAAAAGGCCTAATCATAACAAAGGGGACTATTACCTTTCATGTAGTTTTCTCTGAAGTCTCCATCCAGCCGGCAGTAAGGAAAAGGGGGTGGGATTGTAATGCTTGAGACTGTCGCTGGAAGTAGGGGATGATTGGGTGGGGCTACTGAGAAACCCCTTAAAACCTTGAATGGGAGAGCTTGGACCCCATGTCCTGTCTAGAACGCCTGCAACCATATTCTCTTAATAAAGGATGCCTGTTGGAAAAATTATTCCAAGAGTTCTGTCTTCTTAAGATGCAAAGTGGGGTGGGTTCTTACATTAGACAGGACTTGCAAAATTAATCCACCTGGAAGGGAGACCCTTGCCGGGGGATTTTGCAAAAAATTACCATGTCAGACAATGGAGCAAGAAAGGGGGAAACTCTCTGAAAAAGAGCAGCTGAACCAATTGGAACCTTGCCAGATGTTGGGATCCGAGAGGTCAGATTCCTCAGGAGAAGAAGTGGTGGAGACACGGGACACAAGCCTCACTGGTCAATGGGCGTTGGAAAGAAAAGCGAGTGGGGAAAGGAATCAAGAAAGGTGACCCTGAGACGGGGGGGCCAAGCAACCAGAATGGAAGCAGGAGATGGAGAAATCCCTGCACGCAAGTGAAGAGGGAGAAAGCTGGGCACCGTACTTAGACTGGATCCTAGAGAAAGCTATTGACCTGATGAAGAGAACTCTCAGCTCCCTAGGAGAGGAGAATCCTGAGCCCTACGGCCGCCCCAGCGCCTGGAGCCGCAAAGGGAGAGACACCAAGGGGGAAGTGGAACCTGCAGCCCCGGGGACATCTGCTGATCCAGTAGTCCCCACCCCCTACCGAACCACAGAGGCGATCTGAATGGAAGACACTACCACCAACAATGGAGGCACCGATCCATTCCAAGACGTCCACCGTTGGAGGTGAAATTCAAATGGGAGCCAACACGCTTGGGGTTTTTCCTAACCCAAGTCCTCAGCTTCATGGAGGAATACAGGCGGGACATCCCCAGTGACAAAGCCCGCATCCAGATCGTGTAATCTGCCCTGGACGGACCGGCTGCAGATTGGGTGGTGAACTTGCATGACTCCAATGCCCCAGAACTCAATGACTTCAACCGTTTCATGTCCTCTCTGAGAAGATGATTTGAAGATCCCGTGGCTGGATGAGGCAAGGCAAACGCCCGGTGGCTAAATATACACAAGAATTCCGGGCCATTGCCAGCAAATTGAACTGGCCAGAAGACATCCTACTTAGCCATTTCAAAGACAGACTAAATTATGACCTATATGACGCATGCCTTCCCCGAGAGGACCCACATCAACTTTAGGAATGGTACATCTTGGCAGAGGAAGCAGAGATCGACATATTGAAGAGACACCATCGAGGAAAACAATGGATTCGCTCCCCGCCTGAGTTGACACACGAACCAGTGAAACCATTGGCTACAGCCAAGAAGCAAATGGGGTGTTTCAAATGCAGAAGAGAAGGGCATTGAGCTGTAGAATGCCGCTCCAAAGCACCCCAGCGCAACCCAGACAGATCCCCAATCAGCACATCTGGAAAGTCTTCAGCTAAGCCAAAAGAAACTGCCATGAGAATGATGGAAATTGCGGAACCCCCCACCTCTGCTCATCAGGGGGAAAGAACTCCAGCCTACACCGCAGGGCGTGTGGACGCCTCAGATGACAGCTCGGAGGGCGAACCCCTGGTACGTGGATGCATCGCACCCATCTTCAAGACAGTGACTATATTAATTCCCTCCATGCCCGAAGCCGTGAAGATGAAAGCCTTAATAGACTCTGGCTGCACCCGCTGCCTCATTAGTCCAACACTAGTGAGGAACCTGGGCATTCCATCAAGGAGACTGGAACAACCAATCTCATTTGGCCAGTTAGATTGATCCATAGCGGAGGGGGGTGCCAGCTACCCTAGCCACTCTACCAATACACCTCTCCCTGGGCAAACATGAGGAGGACATAATGTTTGTGGTGACCCCAGGCATGGATGCCCAATGATCTTAGAGATGGAATGGTTAAAAAAATGGAGCCCCTGGGTAAATTGGAGGACAACAGAAATCAAATTCCTGAAGGGGGACCCTATGGACTTAAAATCCCAAGGGGGACTACCAGAATCAAGAATAGAAAAAGCATCCATGGGAGAGGAAAAGGGACTAACAGAAATACCAGAGTGGCTGCCCCGGTCCTCTTTAGTGAGAAGAAGGACGGCTCTTTACGCTGAGGCGTGGATTATAGGGCCCTGAATACAATCAGTGAAAGCAACCTATACCCTCTGCCCCTCATGAAAGACATGCTGTCACATCTCTCTAAAGGGAAATTTTTTTTCTAAACTAGACCTAAGGGAAGCTTACTATCACATGAGAATTAAGGAAGGGGACGAATGGAAGACCGCATTTAACTGCCCCATGGGGCGCTATCAATTCAAAGTCTTGCCATTTGGATTATAAGGGGGCCCTGCAGTCTTTATGCAATTAATCAATGATGTTCTAAGGGAGCACCTGTTTAAGGGGGTCCTTGTTTACTTGGACAACATTCTTATCTTCACCGAAACTAAAGAGGAACATGTCAACCTTGTCAGAGCGGTTTTAAAGAAACTGCGAGCCACCCACTTATATGCCAAACTCTCAAAATGCGAATTCCACCAGGAAAGGATAGACTACCTCGGTTATTGCATATCGCCCCAGGGCATTGAAATGGACCCAGAGAAGGTCAGAGCAGTATTAGATTGGGCACCACCCCGCACAAGAAAGCAACAACAAAGTTTCCTGGGCTTTGCAAACTTTTACCGCCAATTCATCCCCTCATTTGCCCAGATAGCCTTGCCCCTCACTAACTTACTAAAAATGAAGGGAGCATCCTCAGTAAAACCTAGCCAGCCACTAACATGGACAATGGAGCGCCAAGCAGCGTTTGAGAGACTAAAGAGTCTTTTTTCTGCCGAACCAGTACTAAGGCACCCAGACATGGATAAGCCCTTCGTAATACAGGCAGATGCAAGTGATGTGGCAGTGGGGGCTATTCTATTAGAAGAAAACGATGATGGAGTATTGCAACCCTGTGCATATACATCCAAGAAACTCACAGAAACAGAACAGTGCTGGCCCGTATGGGAGAAGGAGGCATACGGGATACGTTGGGCATTAGTCACGTGACGACAGTTCCTGGAAGGCAACAAAATCCCCTTCCAGGTGTGGACTGATCACAAAAATTTGGAAGCTCTGAAAACGCCCAGGAAACTCAATCCCAAACAAGCCCGCTGGTCCCAGCATTTTCACCAGTTCCAATTTAAACTCAAACATTTACCAGGGAGAAAGAACTTCCTGGCAGATACACTATCTCGCATGCCCCAATGTAACAGCACACGAGCCACAGACGCTAAACCGATGATGGCAGAGTCACAACTGGTAGCACCAGTAACCACCAGAACCCAAGCTAAATTAAAACTACAACGGGACAGCCAAACTGGAATTGAATTCCCAAAAAGTTTGGAAACAGATGAATGGTTCCAGAAAAACAAAAATGTGTGCACAATGAGAGACGGGTTGCCTTGGGTAGGGGAAAACTTATATATACCAACAACCCAAAGAGTCACTTTCATGCAGCTTTGCCATGACACAAAATCAGCAGGGTATTTTGGATTTGTAAAAACTTTACACTTAATTAAACGGCAATTTTGGTCATCATCAATAAAAAAGGACATAGAAAGTTATGTAGCCAGTTGCCCAAAATGTGCGACTGTAAAGAGGTTGCAAGGGAAATCGCCAGGACTATTGCGAACAGTGGCAAATCCCTCAGCCTCCTGGAGAGAAATAGCTATGGATTTTATAGTGGAATTGCCAGAAAGCAATGAGAATACTGTTGTCTGGATGGTCACGGACTTCTTTTCCAAACAGGTGCACTTTATCCCTTGCCAAAAGATTCCCACCGCAAAAGCCTTAGCAAAACTTTTCATCAAGCTAGTAATATTCAAATACATCTCATCTAATACTGAGGTTATCTTGCTTCAATGAGGCCAATACTCCAAATTCTGAATAACTGATTACATTTGAGAACAATACCGTGCAGATTAAACACAGAGAGGTATACAACATTGCTGGTGAGAATGAATAAGTCTTCTCAATTATATACATGGCACATCTTACCTAATCTGTTTGAAATTTTCCCTTTTGCACAAGGAAGACAATCATAGCAGCAAAAGGGCTTCTCATCTATTTTTTTCTTCAGGTAGCCTGGATAACAATTTTCATTGCATACAGAAAGTGGTAATGCCTATTCAGAAGTGAAACCCGGAGAGAGTTCAATAATTGTACTTCATACACTCATATTTCAAAGTGTATATGATATTCTGAAAAATCTGCATAGCTTTTGGAGAAATTCTATATATAGGATTCAATTCAATGTATTATTAGATAGGCACATTTAATGAATGCCACCATAATAATGTGACATTGTCTATATGTCCTCATGGAACCATGTATTTCCTATGTATTTCCCATATATTTCCATGGGACCTTAGAGGTTTCCTGAAGGCTTAATTGTTCAAACTGGACTCCCCTCGAACTCCATTTTGGTCAATCTGATCGGTAAAAGTCCAGTTGCCTTTGAAAAGCACCTTTGAGGGGAATCTGATTGGTAATCTATTCCACTTTGTTGGTGAAATTAAACTTTGGAATTATCTGCATTTTCATTGGGTCCAGTCCTTTCTGCCAAATAGGTCCTGAAAAGAAATACTGCAGAGAACTTACTCATGGGATACAGAGTCTTAGACAATATGCTGTTGGAATATAATCAAATTATAAGGTAGCAATGGACAGGAATAAGATATTTCAACTAGTACAGTATCTCAGCATGTCGCTTGTTTATTATTAAATAATTTCCTGCTTTTATAATTCAAAGATGGTTCCCTATGTAGGACAACCTGAAAATGACAGCTGGTAATTACGTACATTCAGGAATGCCCATAGATTTCTGGAAAGACAAGTTTAATAATGGAACACCTGTGTAATCTGATCTCTGCTCTTTCATTTTTCATCATATTTTATTGCCTTAATTTTATTACTAATGAGTCACTCAAATGATAAAAGTAATTTCTGAATATGGTAGGGGGGAGGATTTTATACAACCTGAAACATCAGTAGGAAATACCTGGTTGAACATGGTCGGCCAGATGATGTTTTCTTCAGAAATCATGAAAGACTCTTCTGGAGAAGTCAGTGGATCTATCTTTCCAATTTTGACTTTAAGAAAAGTTTTGTTTGGGAATGTGATCCAGTTGATGATATCAAATCCAGTTCCCAATTCCCCCTTTTCATTAAAAAAAACTGTTTCCCCAACACTGTTGTTAAATAAGACTGTTCTCAGGTAGGGATGGAGCTAAATGGAAGCAAATCAAGCACAAATATTTGTGTTCGAATTATGTTGATAATTTAGCTTTGTGTTTTAACTGTGCATGGTGTCCAGTGTTACATTTATGAGATGGGTGGCCATATAAATTCAATAAATAAATGGAATTGATCTGGAGAAATAAATATCCACACTAAATGTACATTTAGAAGTTGCTAATACTACTGTGCAAGTGAACCATAATATTAATAACCATATTATTACCAAGTAAAATGGTTTGACAAAATTTCAAACTGAATTATGAAGCTTGATTTAATCAAATTTTTGAATTGGATCTTTTTTACATAGTTTCTACACAGTATGTTGTCCAGAAACATAAACCATGAATTTGTGTAAACTATGTGGATACTGCACCTGAAATGTACATATTTTGTAGTCATAAAAAACACCTGATGGCATCAGAGAGGCTTCATCAATTTGTCATTGGGATTTCTTTTATTATTACCTGCCATCTTTCTTCCTTGATAATCATCAGCCTTCCGTGGTCCGCCCTTGCTCTGTGTTTGTATTTGGATGAAAACATGGCTTTCAAGGCATGTGCCACAGCATAGACTGCATTATAAATGCTGTAACTCTGTCCAGTCATGGTGGTCTCAAACACAGAATTAGGAAGAGTCTCCAACTTCTCCTCTCCAGTGCACAGCACTCCAGCATCCTCATCTAACTTATCTTTAAGGAAAAAACATTCAAATGCCTGCTCCCAGAACAATTTTGTTAAATGATCTTCTTCTTCTAAAGAAGGGCTTCTCATCTGCAGGAATGGTTTGAACCCAGTCACCTCCTTGGAAGAAACCGCAAAAGATATGGCACCATGAATAAAGTCCAAAGGGAGTATTTTTTGAAAAGGGACTGATGTGAACTCCATCTGGGCTGGCATGATCCAAACTTTGTCTTTTCTCTTTACTGGTATATCCTCATATTCTGAAAGATGGGGAAATATTCTGAAAATGCCAATGACGTGGTTTTCACCATAGAGGATCACAACATTGGCAGTGCTGTTCATGACAACCTTGTACATGGCAATAAAATCTTTAAATATATATTCAATGTGATTAGAAAAAGTTTCTTTGGGCAACTCTTGCATAAAGTCAAAGCAAATACCTTTCTGGACAAACAGTGTAAGGGCATTCCGTACAAAACTCCGTCCACCCTCATCAGGTTGGGAAATCAGCCCTATCCATACCCACTTTAAATGCAACAGCAGCTGAAGAACCCCCTTCGTCTGAAGGTCCTCGTTTGGGAAAAAACGATGAAAGAAAACTGTGTCTTCGCTATTATCTTTCATTGGAGCAGATCCATATAGAAGCTAGGGAAAAATGATTTAAAATAGTTGGGTATTAGAAGCTATGATACAGATTGTGTTCCTCACCAACTTCAAGAAACCAGTTTTTCCTTTAATTTAATATTTGAATGCCATAGATTTGATTCAGTAATTTGATTCAGTAATCCCTGAACTTTAACAGGATAACAGAATAACACATTTGGAAGGGACCTTGTAGATTTTCTAGTCCAACCCCCTGCTTGGACAGGAAGCCCGTCCATTCTAGTCAAGTCACTATCCAGTCTCTTCTTAAAATGTTCCAGGGATGGAGCACCCACAAATTCTGGAAGCAAATCATTGTTCTGTCATGAAATTTCTCCTTCATTCTAGGTTGGTTCTCTCCTTGATTACTTTCCATCCATTGCTTAGTACCTAAAATTTTCTATCTCTTCTGCAAACACATGGTATGTTATTCATCATTGTATGGATTATCACTTTATTTCCAAACCACAAAAAAGTCATAAAAAGAAAAGTTGGTTTATTTGTTGTATTTTTGTAAACATTACTTTGTAAAAGAAACAAATGGGAGGTAGTTGAAGACTTGGAAGACTCTGTTATTGTAACCTTACAATAAAAGAATTATTAGTATGTGTGATTTTGGTTTGCTACCCTGGACAATCTGTAAGGGATGACATTAACCTTGAAAGTAGGAAAACACTTTCTCTTCCCCTGCCTTAACTTTCCAGAGAATTGGGGAGGAGTGGGTGTTAATCTTGAGATGCTTTCTCAAAGAACACTTCTGGTTTAGTCTCAAATTTCTTTTATCAGACTTTTTTTTAAATAGGACTGCAGTTCTTCCTCTTGCCTTTCAAGGTTATTCTTACAGTGTATACTTAGTCCAAGAAAAAAAATCTCACCTGGGGCATCTTGTAGACATTCAAGATGTTTGCCACGAAGGGACAGATGTAAGAGTTAGGTCCTGCAATAACAGATGCTGCCCAGTCTTTGGCATCACACTTATAGTTGGGGATGAATCTGCCACGTGTTGAGAGAAGCTCCATGGAAGCCAAGTAAGTCAATCCTGCCATGGGATAACTGTTAGAAATGTCAGTACCCAAGCTCATGTTGGATAATATGTGCTTATTTTCATTTATCTCCTTTACAGCAAAAACCAAGGCCAGGATATGTTGGTAGTTCTGCAGGAAAAATCTGCAATGAAAGATATATTGTGTGGATCTAGGCAGGATGTTATGATTCTTTTAATTCATCACAAATATTTTTTACTAGAAACAGATAAATAGCTTGAAGAAAAATGATTGTATTAAAACCCATATGTAGCCTTATATTTTTATCTTCTTCTTGGGTCTGTTTTATGGTGGATATAGGCATGAAAAATGTGTTTGGAGTAAACTTGAGGACAAATATTATATATTATATTTTTTCTGGGATAATGATAGACCTTATCCCAATAAAAGTCACTGATGTTTCATTAAGGCAGAGATGCTCTAAGTCTGTGTTCCATGCATGCTCAATAGCTGTTTGGAAAATAATTCAAAGCATGCAACTGTTCCCTAATATTAAGTGAAATAATTAAATGATTAACATAGATTTAGCTACAAATAGTACAGGACAACCTATTAGAGAAAGATTTATGGTTTAAGATATGCTATAGTTAAGAAGAGAAAGTCTTTACATGAGGTCATCAATCATTTCTTCAGATGGGTGCCTTGTGAAACCAACTGGATCCCATATCATGGAGAACTGAGCTAGTATCCCAGCCATTATGAAATCACCTGGCAGAAAATACTTATGCTTAACAAAGGGAAGTTTCCCCACAGAACATGTTTTAGTAGGCAGAATATGGCATGTAGCTCCTGACAGAAACAGTGACAACATTGCCATCACTACCATGGAAAATTCCATCTTCTTCAAGAAAACACTTTTCACTACATATGAACCACTTCTATCTGTAAGAATGAAACATAAGGGGGAAAAACTCTCACTTATTAGAATAAATATTCTTTCTAAGAAAAAAGGTTGTTACGTCTCTAACATTCTGATCCCACAATTAACAGACCCTTTCAATCTTGAGCTATCCTTTGGTGCTGTGCCTGAGAATTCCTGAAAGAGTTGAGAGAAAAAAACCACATTAGTAAGATTCTTTGGGTAATTATAGGGGAAATCAGTGAATGTTTGGTGACGCTCCTTGGAGACTGTGGAGAAAGTAGAATGATGATATGTATGGGCTAGGAAAAAAAGAACTCATAACTGAAAACTGTAAAAGAGATAGAGAAAAATAATGAAAATTCAGATAAACAAATGCTAGTTCTGTAGCTGTAAACTTTACATTCTCTGGAACAATACAACTATCTGACTTTGACCTGTTAGGGCGTACATTAAAGCATGATTTTTTTCCCCAAAGAGCTAAAAAGAAATTGACCCATAATGTTATAGAATCCCGCCCACCTTTATTTATCTTTTTGATAGGTCTTTAAACACTTTGATTATTGTATTTGTAATGTAATTAAAAGGCTTGAAGGAACGTTGTCCATGGGGTCGTGATGGGTCGGACACGACTTCGCAACTAACAACAACAATGTAATTAAATCATGACATTTCTTTTTATGCTTTCTAATGGAAGCAGGCATGTGAGCTGTGCAGAGTCCTTTGGGATGGGAACAGTGTGTAATGCCAAGTGAATATGCAAATAATAAATGAATACCATTGGAAACATATTTTTCAGCACTGTTTTTATTGCAAAATAAAAATATAGCTTGGCTCTTTTCACTCATTTTAAATGATTTTTTACTCCATATCCTCAAAGTCACACGGTGTGAACCATATATTTTTTGTCTGGCTTGATGAATGACATGAGCCACCACCAATCCATTTATCCACCATTGATATTTTACAGCCCTGCAACAAATCTCTTTGTCAATCATATATGGGAAATGAAAAAATAATAATCTACCAGTCACAGGACTCCTTCCTCATTAATTGTGAAATTTGATTGCTGCTACAAATGTTGCTCCTTTTATCAAATAAAAAAACATAACCTGAATCAGTTTCGTTGTAGTAAAGAAATAATGGTCACTTGAAATTATTTATTTTTATTTGTCCTTTATCATTACTTCTTTCACTACATGGACAAATAAATTGAAGAATAACATAATATACAAATACTAAAATAAGAAATTCACTTATTTATAAAAGTTAAATCCTTCCTTCCTTCCTTCCTTCCTTCCTTCCTTCCGTCCTTCCTTCCTTCTTTCCTTCCTTCCTCTAGGATCCATCAAATACATCTTTCTAGCAAATAAGACCCATAGTATGCCACTTTTTTGAACTGGTGATACCTCTTACTGAGAATATCACACAGTGAGGGCCAAAGGCAACATCTCTTTACCAATCACCACTGTCTGGAATGTCAATCAGAGAAAGTAGTCAAACCAGCAAAAAACACTGATCCCCTGAGTTTATACAGAAGGGTAGAATGTTTGTTGGTTTTGAAAGCCACTCGGATCTAAAGAGGAGATGGATAGGGACCGATCCATTTTCTCAGGCTCAATAGATTCAAACTATTCCCACATATCAAAGCCAGACTGCTCCATAGGTATCTGTGAACAAATTACAGCAACTTTGTCTGATAGATGCTAATATAATCAAGGGATGCATGTAGCAACTCAACAAGTGACAAGCCTGAGCTACAATTCTCTCCATTCATCTCTTGATATTTAAATATTCTGCAATATTGTTGTAGAATTGAAAAACTTGAATCAGCTCTTTCAGGAAAGGGAAGTTTATTGCGCGCAGGTTCAGAGAGCCATCCTGGCTGAAGAAATCTGAACCCAGATTGTACATTGATGACCATTTTTATAACCCTTCTGGTGGGGGTTATTTTCAGGTCACATTACATTCTATAGGTCCTTATTCTAACATAGAAAAACTACTAGACAGATCTATAATCGATAGCTCCTCGTTTACATTGGAATGTTTTTAGCAATCAGCAATATATCAAGTGTTAAGCAATTTAGATACACCATGTGACAAGCAGTTAGTAATATATCATGTGCAGAGCTGGGAACAGGATGTCTGGCCATCCTAAATTTAAGAGTTGTCTTGTAAGCAAAACAAACCTCCCTTTCATACACATTCTTTGGTGGGCCATCTGCTTTTTACCCATATTCTTTGTCGGACCATCAGTATTTTTCCAGGTACCACTTTATTCCCCCCTGATGAGACTTATCTCATCTATGCAGATAAGTTTCATTCCATAACACTTGGGTCTGATGTATGTATGTTGTTATACTCTTGTCTCTGGAATTCCCACATGTGAAGAACCACCCTTTAGGTAACCATATGTTTGCATACCCAAAAGACACTGTTTGGAAAGATGTGCAATTTAGCTTTTCTTGGCTCACTTTCAGGCAATGAGGTGAAGGTGTATTCTGCTCACACCCCGTGATATGTGCACATTGTAAGTCTTCTGGAATGGCTACGTTAGGAGTATGTAAAGCTAAAGCATCAGTGGGTAGAAACTTGGAAATGTGACCCCAGCTGTACATTGTTTCATAGCCTATATGTTCTTTAAACTCGTGGTGACTGAACTCCTTGGCTGCTGTGACAGGAACACATACGGGTATTAAACATGTGGACAGCAGATTCTCCATGTCATATGCTTCAGAAAGGCAAAAATCAGTTGTGTTGGCTAGTTTAGCCAATTGGACCCACAAATTATATTGCATCCTTGACTCCAATGGATGGGGCATATCCTTATTCTGATGGGACCTTCTGCTTCGTTTTCTCTCTGGGCGCTTCCTCGGGGGTCGTTGGATAGTAACTCCTAATTCCCCCGGGATTACATGTACGATGCAAGTCCCCTTCCATCCCGTCTTCAACTGCGAGACTAGGGTGACCCGCTCCCATCCCCAGAATAAGGGAGGCCCACACTCCAGAGTAACAGGAGGAGGAGGCTTCTTATATGGGGCCTTTACACATATGCCTTTCCTAAGAATATACCCAACATACTGACAGGCTTCGGGATTGACAGGTCATACAGGCTTCTTTAACTATTCTGTCAAATGCTTGGGGAAATTGACAAGGATGAGGCCAGATACCATTCCAGCATTCTGGGGAAAATCCAATAGGGGGTGACCTTTACAAGTGCCCGTGCCTATAGCATAAGATTGGATAAGGCATGGAGCTTCTTCTGGCTTGCTCCATTGGCCTAAATTAGAAAGACAAACATTATTACATGCAACAATAGTACTATATAAAAGCAGAAGGAAGCCTTTCATCCTTTCTTCTCCCGTGCGTAGAAAGCCAGCTTCCGGGTGTGGCTTAGCAGGGGGTTGAATTTCAGCCAGACAGCCGTAGATATATGTGCAGGATACACTTGTGCTAATACAATATCTGGTTTACAAACAATAAAATATTCATTAAACATACTAAACATGTTTAAGAGTGAGTTTGGTGGGAACCTTGGGGTCCCTGTTCACTGTCCACAGAGGTTCTGCAGCTGCTTTAATTCTGGTCCAGTGAATCCAAGATTTAGATTCTGCAATCTTTATTGCTAAAGGGGAGGCCATTATTACTTCATAAGGTCCTTTCCATCTCCCCTCCAGTTGTTCATGTTTCCAATGTTTTACCCACACCTTATCCCCTGGTTTAAAGGGATGACATCTTGTTATTAGTTTAGGAGGTGTTTGTTCAACAACATAATTCCTAAGTTTTTCCACTTGCTTATTCAGTTCCTGCACCATTTTCAGAGCCCATACTCCCCCCTGATGGCCCAAATCAGGCCATCCAGCCAAACTTCTTCTCAGCAGCGTAGGAGGACGCCCAAACATCAGCTCATATGGGGATAGGTTGTATTGTCTACGTGGAGCACATCTCACAGCGTAGAGAGCTAAGGGCAATGCATCAGGCCATTTCAGGTGACTTTCAGCACAGATCTTAGTAATTTTCTCTTTCAGTGTGCGATTCATTCGTTCAGAATTCGAACCGGACTGAGGATGAAAAGCACAATGAAACCGCCATTTGGATCCCACAGCAGAAGCCACTGCTTGATTGACTTGATGAACAAACTCAGGACCATTATCAGAGGAAATAAAAGACGGGCAACCAAAACGAGGTATTAGTTCTTTTAACAATAGTCTTGCCACTTCCCTGGCTTGTTTAGTCTTTGTAGGGAAAGCCTCTGGCCAGCCAGTGTATTTATCCACAAATACCAATAAAGCTTTGTATAGTCCACATCTTGGCATGTCTGTAAAGTCAACCATGACAGAGTCCATAGGAAAGTAAGAGACAGGTATGGTTCCAGGTGGTAGTAGGGGCCCTTGTCGAGGATTGACCTTAGCACAGATGCCACATTGTGAAACCACTCGAGCAGCTATCCCAGCCGACCCATGTACATAGTAATCCCTCCCAATAGCAGCATCCAATCCAGTTTTCCCCATGTGTGTTGTTTCATGTGCTGCCTGAAGTAAAGCCCATGCTGAAGATTGAGGGACAAAAATACGTCCATCAGGCAAAAGATATCACCCATCCCTAATAGTAGCTTTGAGATCATTCACTGCTTTCACACACTCCTGCTGAGAGTATGTTGGTTTAATGATAGGAGGCAAGTCCCCTATGTCTATTGCCACACATATTGACAGATCAGGAATGGGCCCTGTTTTCATTGCCACTTTCTTAGCTTCCAAGTCAGCTCTTCTATTCCCCTGAGCCACCCGATCCACCCCTTGCTGATGTCCTTTGCAATGCATCACAGAAACTTTTGCTGGTTTCTGCACAGCATCGAGAAGTCGCTTGATCAAATGTCCATGCAACACATGTTTGCCCGCAGAATCCCTGAATCCCCTTTCCTTATACACAGCCCCATGAGCATGCAGAGTCAAAAAAGCATATTTACTATCTGTCCAGACATTTAAAGTTTCCCCTTCAGCTCTTTCCAATGCCCTAATTAATGCCCACAATTCTGCCACTTGAGCACTGCAGCTTGCTCCTAGCGGACTGCTTTCCACCACTTCCTCATCATTCACAATCGCATATCCAGAAACCCTCCTCCCATCCTGCATGTAACTCGAGCCGTCTGTATACCAATTCAGGGCAGCAAGCAGTTGTGTTCTGAATCCACTTCTGTGGGCAATAGGGTGGCAGGGTTTAGCCGGTTAGACACCACTAATTTCACTTGAGGATTTTCAATCATCATCGCCTGATACTTAAAAAGCCTTTGACTGCTGATCCACAAATGCCCTTTATTATCCAAGATAGAATGAACTGCATGAGGGGTGTGGACACTTATGGGACATGAGAAGGTCAATTTATTACAGTCCTGTAAAAGGACTGCTATAGCAGCAAGAACCTTCAGGCAATGTGGCCAGCCTTGGGCAACCCCATCTAATTGCTTAGATAAGTAAGCCACCGGGCGTTGCCACTGTCCTAATTGTTGAGTTAACACCCCCAAGGCAACATTCTTCCTGGTATCAACATACAAATTGAAAGGCTTTTCTAAGTTAGGCAAGGCTAAAGCTGGAGCTGATGTGAGGGCTCGTTTCACTTCCCTAAAGGCATTCTTTTGTTCTCCCTCCCATTCAAAAGAAAACAACGGCTGGCTAGCCTTGTGAATAGGAATCGTGAAAAAAGCATCTTTCAAATCCACAACTGAAAACCACTTTGCTATGAACAAGTGTATACCTCCTTTAGGCTTCCTGATTAACATTGTCCACACTTGATAAGAAATGCTAACCACCAAGATGTCCCCAAATGTCAATTTTAGATAAAAATGCCACTGGCTGCCTTCCCCCCCCCCACGCACACACTTCTGGGTCAAAACCTTCTCCAACCTTTGTCCTTGTTTATAAATAAATTACCTAGCAAAGAACCAACAAAGGAGAGCTCACCAAACCCTGTTTGCATTTATTAACACAAGCTCTTTTTCTAACAGTTTTGCATACAAATCTTTACTCAAAACAGCATAGCTATTTATAATCCCAAAATTTTTCTCAACTTCGTTTTAACTTCACACAAAAAAATAAACAAGTTTAATAAGATATTCTGAGTTACTGAAAGTTTTTTTTTCTAAACTCTAGTATTGCTTTTAATATAAAGTTAGTCAAATTCCAATTTAATCAAATTCCATTCAGATGGAAACAGATTTCCATTAAATTTCCATTAAATAGGGAGAACATTTACAAATCTAAGCAAACTCTTTTGGTTGATATTAAACAATTTAAACTCAAAAATTTCCCCAAAAAAATTGTCCGTGTCCAACAATTACTGACTCCTCTTTTGAATAGAAAAAATTGCAAAAGTGGGCATTAAATTTTCACAGCCACCCAACCTTTCTCAAACCTGAATTCTAAGCAGAGAAAAAGTTAAAAAGATCAACCCCTCCCCTTTCTCCTCTCTCTCTATCTCTCTCCTTCTCAAAGCAACACAGCCAGAAAAAAGCAGGGGGGGGAAAGGGGGTTGTGTCTGCAGATAGAGTTTGAAAAGGCATTAACACACTAACATTTGCAAAAGGGAGAGAGCAGCATAGGCAAGAAAATGGTATAGGATTTCCTGCCTGAGCAGGTAACTTTGGGCTGTTCTTAAGAGGGAGAGAAAAAATAAATAAATAAACAAACACATCTTCCTTCACTTTGTTTGTTTGCCAGACAAACAGAGTGAGGTTATTTTTTTTGGGTATCTTCTTTTCTCTTGAGGTTAGTAACAGTCATATTTACTTCACACACAAAGACTCTGCTTTCAAATCCACAACTGATCTTCCTGCTCCAGTATCCACCAAAAATGTTGTCTGTTTGCCCCCTATATTTAAAGTAACCAATGGCTCAGGGGGGGCTTCCTTCAAGCCAGGTCCTCGTCAATCTGACCCGTTAGTTCCTGCCAAGCCAATTCCCTCAATCTCCCTGTCTCTATTCCAATGTCTCCCATTCCTCAGACCATCTCTTACATTCCCTGGACCATCTCTCACATTCCTTGGAGCCCCTCTCTGCCCTCTACCCATGAAGGGGGAGTGCATGGGGGGCCCACTGCCAATACCTCCACATCCTCTGCCTTCTCTTCCTCTCCAACCTCTACCTCGCATCTGCCTTCTTGGACATTCTCTTTGCCAATGACCTTCCTCCTTGCAATTAGCACACTGGTTGGGTCCCAGCATGATCCCTCCTTGCAATGCCACCGCCAACAACTCAATTTTCTTATGCATTCTAGCATCTCTTTCCTGTTTTTCCACCTTATCCCTATTAACAAACACTTTCCTAGCCACCTCCAACAATTCTGTAGTGTTCTTTCCTAATGCTCCTTCTAACCTCTGCAACTTCTTTCTTATATCTTCATAACTCTGTGCTATGAACCTCTCATTCAACATTCGCACATTGTCTGCACTCCTTGGATCCACCTGTGTATAAAGCTCATAAGCCTCAATCAGCCTTTGCAAAAAAACTCTCTGGACTTCCATCTGCTTCCTGCATCACAAAAGACGGCTTTAACACATTCACTGAAGGCTTTCCAGCCTTGCGAAGAGTCTCTACTACTAAATTCTGATATTCCTTTAACAAGGTCATATGTGCTGGATTTTGTGCCTTCCATTCAGGGTCCTTTTCTGGTGCCCTGGCTTCCATCTCTGGCTGTATATCCCATACAGCCGGCAACCTATCCTTCAAACACTGCCTAACAGCAGCCTTCCACTTCTCCCTTTCCTCGGGAGTCAACAAAATATTCTGCCACGTCCTCTTTACTTGCTTCTCCCCTCACATTTACAGAGAGACCTTCCAAATCCCCTTCCTCCTTGGGGGCTGACAGCCTCCCCCTTTCTGTTTTCGTCTCACAGCTGGCTGCCTTTCTTCGGACACAGCAGGGGCAATCAGCCCTTCCTCGGCAGAGCGCCTGCTGCCGCAGCCGGCACTGGGGGGGAGGGGGAGAAAGGTAGAACGTAGGGAGGAGGTCTGAGAATCAACTCCTCTACCTCCATCCTTATCTCCTTCTTAGCATCTGACACCTTAGTTTCTGAAATCTTCACATCTTTCACTCTTTTAGTTTGTACTTGAATCTTTTTTTTTTCCTTTGGGTCTAGCCACACACAAACGAACCATTTCAGCCTGACATTGCAATAACTCATCAGCTCGTCCTGCTACTGCATCCCCCCACTGATCTATATACTGAAATTGGTTAGGATAGTTTTCTTAAAAGATCCCTCTGGGGGCCACCCCACATCCATACTACGCCCCCCCATCCTAACACACTGCCAATGACCTACAGCGCCGGCGGTCACTAGTAGGGAATGCACTGGCTTAACCACCCACACAACCTAACACGGACTTCATTAGGATCGCCGTCCCGAGTCCAGGGGAGTGATCAGGCCCCCTCTTCTATCTTCAAGTGAGATAGGTACCATTACTTTAAACACATACTCGCCTGCCTTGTAGTTACACCCATCCTGGCCAGGAGTTGGTTCAGACTTCCTTTCCTTTCCCCAAAGGGTTCTTGGACTGGCCTTCAGTACTGTCGGCTCTGCTGAGAAGCCACAGCTGTCTCCTGGAGGAAACACACCCCCATGGCGCCTGGAGAATTGTTCAGAGATGGCTTACCAGCAGGTCCGAAGGGTCCAGCCGTCCTCAGCGAAATATCGCCTCACTCAAGCTTTTCCCGGCCAATGCACCAGAAAATGTTGTAAAATTGAAAAACTTGAATCAGCTCTTTCAGGAAAGGGAAGTTTATTGCGCGCAGGTTCAGAGAGCCATCCTGGCTGAAGAAATCTGAACCCAGATTGTACATTGATGACCATTTTTATAACCCTTCTGGCGGGGGTTATTTTCAGGTCACATTACATTCTATAGGTCCTTATTCTAACATAGAAAAACTACTAGACAGATCTATAATCGATAGCTCCTCGTTTACATTGGAATGTTTTTAGCAATCAGCAATATATCAAGTGTTAAGCAATTTAGATACACCATGTGACAAGCAGTTAGTAATATATCATGTGCAGAGCTGGGAACAGGATGTCTGGCCATCCTAAATTTAAGAGTTGTCTTGTAAGCAAAACAAACCTCCCTTTCATACACATTCTTTGGTGGGCCATCTGCTTTTTACCCATATTCTTTGTCGGACCATCAGTATTTTTCCAGGTACCACTTTAATATCAATACATATTTAATTGTTTATGGATTGTCTCATTTAATATCCACTCTTTAAAAGACCAATTTAAATTATGATGTTATTGAAGGAGCAGTACTTCTTAGAGATCCTCATAGTTTTGCTCCCTGCAGTTGCATGATCACAAAATTAAAATTAAAAACTTGCCAAGAAAACAGGAAGACATGTCCAGTCAGTCATCTGGAGTCAAAAAATTTTCAACCAATGTTGAAAAATGGAGATCATTACACGAGCATAGAGACACTATACAAAAAATTAATGATAAACTCTTGATTCAGGAAATGTTATAGTGAAAATG